CGCACACGAATGCCCCTGCGGGCGCCATGGCGCCCGCGGGCACCGTGTTGAGGACCACGGGTCTATAAGGTGCCACAGGACTCCTTGCCGCCATTTGTTGGAGATTGTTTAGGAGAAACAGAAGGAGCTGAAGAATGTTGCCTGGCATAATCCACATGAGTAGTGTGCTCTTCAGAAAAGAGTTGCTGGCAGATAGCCCAGAAAAGACTCAGTCTCCTCAGAAATAAGCGGGGCTATCTCTGAGAATCTCAACTCTTGCAGTATTGAGTGAGCCAACAGTGACCTGATGAGTCCCATCCATAGAGGTGTGAGGTTCTAATTGCACAGATAGTCTAAATACGTATGAGGGAGTAGAAGATGAAGAGCATACTGTCTTCTTAGTCAAGTGCTTAGAACTGGTAGTATCTTGCCCATATATCCTTGGTATGAGACACAAGGATGCATATGTTGCATGTGCAAACCAGATATTGCCAATGAAATCTTCCAATTGAAGGTGAGCATGCACACCTCAAGTAGAGTACCCACAGGGACACTACCTGAAATAGTAGTAGTTACAAAAAGAAGATTCTGGATCTCTCCAGTAAAATCAGTGTTAACATGAACTTCTCTCGCACTTGGAGAGAGAAGATTCACCCAGAGAAATTAGTTCAATATTGATTTCTATGCATGTTTAACATGATTAAAACCTGTATTACTATTTAATGCTGCTACAAGAAGCACGTGATTATCAGAGCAAGACCATACTTTTTTTTAATCCAATGCAGTGTTCATTTATTTTTGTACATACAAAAAGAGCTGCTCCCTTTTGATTTCCCCCACCCCCAAAAATCTCTCCTTTACAAACAGTTAAAAATTAAAAACCAGATGACAACATGTTAATTTTGGTACAATTATTTAAAAATATAGCTGTCATAATTAGGAGTTAAATAAATCCTGATTATTGGCCAAATAAAATTTCATATTACAAGTTAGCAAATTCTAGTACAAAAATAGTCCTTGTGTTAGAACAGCCTCTTATAATTATATTCACAGGTTTGAGTCTATTGGCTGCATAATACCTTAATATTTTATGACATTTCTTTTTATATGGCTCATTCATCTAATACACTATAGTGTTGAGCCTTGATCAATCCTCAGGCAAAAAACCCTTAACAGGGTTAATATGCTGCTCAGTGTACTTTGAAGTACTGTGCTTTTCACAGGACATCCAAAAATCCCCAAACTGTTCTCAGCTAGTCTCCTTGATATTACAATGAGATCCAGATGTAAAAGTACCCCCCAGAAGTAAAGATCCACAACCTTCTGTAGGAACACAAGACACAGCTTTGATGTTCAAATGCCACTTGGAAAACAGGTCCCACACCTCCACTCATTTGCACCTATGCCTTGTGAGCTTCTTGAGAAACTAAATCTTATCACTCATGAAACATGTGGGGCCATTCTTGTATTGCTCCTTTTAGGAGTATCCCATTCTGTCAGGGCTCTCTCCTCTTCTGTCTCTGGCTAATGCTCTTCAGCAGTTTTCCTTAGACCAGGCCCTTCAGGGAAAATCTGGGGAAATACTATTTGTCTCTTAAGATGTCTAGCTGCTCTTGATATTCTGTGAAAAGTCTCTGGAAACGGAGGTTCTGTCCAATGACAGGAAGCAGTTCTTTCAGTAGCTCTCTCTTCCGTAAACCCTGCACAAAAATGTCAAAAATCCTCAAATTTATTTTATATCATTTATATAGGCACTTGATACAGTGTGGCCTCTATATTACAGAGCTATTTATTTGGTGTCACTTCTTGTTATTTAGATGTCAAAAGTAATAATAATAAAATCATTGGGAGTTCATACGAAATGTTCTTGTTGCTGCTTCCATGCGGTGACAGAAAGGGAACATGTTGCCATTTCATAGCAGCCCTTTCAAAGGTATATACCTGGTGAATGGAGAGCATAAAAGGTGCAATCTATTCCATCTAATAGGTATGTAAGACAGCAATGAAGTGGAGATAATGGAATTGTTAAGTGCTTGTAGCCAGTGCCAGAGAGAATAAAGATGGTTATTTAGATAATGGAAAGGATGGATTAGGTATCAAATGGAAGGGATTCCACAGTGGTCTTTGGGGATGGCTTGCTTGCTATGCAATTTGCAGTATATTTGATCCTAAAAGGACTATCAATCTTCCCAACAGTTTAAAAGTTACACAAATTAAGGAGAAATGTCTTCTTCCTTAACAACAGTGGCTGCACAAGACTTGGCTCATTTGATTTACTTACTACTTTGTGAATGAGAATCATGTTGACACAGTTTTAGAAACAGCACTTATGTTAAGCAAAAACTCTCCTTTTTTTAAAAAAAATAGAACCCCTCAACAATGACAAGAAAGCCTTAGTAGTGGACTTTTAAAAGTAAATGAAAATTACCAATTTAAAAGTCTCAGAAGGGCAGCCGTGTTAGTTTGTAACTTTAAAAACAACTTTTAAAAATGAGTCTACCTGTGGCACCTTAGAGACTTATCTATCTATCTTTGTGTGTATATATGTGTGTATATGTATGTATCATGAGCTTTTGTGGGCTATTTGTCTCTCAAAAGGTCTTGGTGTTCTTCATATGCGTTTTGCCCACGAAAGCTCATGATACTATATATCGGGATGGACAATAATTTTCGCAAGGGGGTCACAATGAATTTTGGTATGTGGTCACAGGCGGGCTCCTACCCCAGAAGAGGTGGGAGCCTGGAGTGCTAGGGGCAGAGCTGGGAACTAGCTTCCGACAGAATTGTCTGGGACCTCTGGCTTTGAATTAAAAATACATCAAAGGGCTTGCAGCTCCTGGCCACGCTGCTACCACATTGCTGAGCAGCCACTTAGGATTTCTGTGGTCATTTAAAGACTCATGGCTCTGGCCTTTGCCAGGGTAGCACTATGATCTGGAACTATTTAAATAGGATCCTGCTACCTGAGCCTCTGCCAGGAAATTTGGTGGCATGGGCAGCAGGATATAAATACAGAGTAGTATTAGTCTGCAGGTTGGATCAAAGTGTTAGGCAGGCTGGATCTGGCTCCTGGGGCCACATCTTGCCCAGCCCTGATATAGATACAGATACAGATATAGATATAGATATGTCTGTAAGTTACCACAGATCTACTTGTTGTTTTTAAAAGTTATCTGAACATTTCAAAGGATAGATCAAATTTTGGATTCTCCACTTTGGCAGGGTATTTTTAAATGTTACCAAAAGAAACTATGAGAAATAATGTAAAGTACATTCAATAGTTTAAATTAAAGCTGCTTAGTTTATACACAAAAGGAGTATCTCCTATACTGTATTTAAGCAATAAAAACCAGCATTTACCACTACTGTTGATTCCCATTGACTTCCAGTTGAGTAATGGACTGGACCCAGTAAATCCTTGCATAATTCTCGCAGGCGATATTCAAACCCTGAGGATGATCAGAAATAAAATTGCATTCATAAACACCCACTACACAATATAAATAGCATGCAAGTTAAGATAATTACAAGTATCTAGACAAGAACAACGTAAGGGAAAACCAATATGATTTCTGTAAAGATAAATTGTTCCTCCCTAACCAGCAAGAATTCTTCTAAACATTAAAATAGAGTATAAAGATAGGCTGGTGGGTTTAATCTAGACTTCAAAAAAGTTTTATCAGTAATTCTCCACAAAAAGGCTGTTAAAAGTGATCTACAAAGGAAAAAAATAAATATCACATTGTTTATTATAAATACAATCCTAAAGACACAACTTCCAAGCCATCCTTCCTAAAATTCTACTTGTTTTTTTATATTACACATGTCTTGTGTGTCCTGGTAGATTCTAATAATACAGAAAGCTAAGTAATTAAAATAATTAAATTTTAGTAGGACTATTTAAAACTTGGTTTCTTTGTTTAACACTAATTTAATGCCAATACTTAAAACAGCTTGGAAAAAGGATGCCATTGATAAAGACTCAACATTCTCTGCCTGTTGTAGATAGCTCAGAGTGTTTACAATAATCTTGCTTCCAGATCCACACTAAGAGATCCTTCAGCAAAACTAAGAAAGACCAGATTCAACATTCTTTTTATTTATATGATAAAAAAGCAAGACAAACACCATAAAAAAACACTCTCAAAAACTTTTCAATCCAACTTTACATCAGAAAGCAGCAAAAAAGGTCAGCAGCCCAATTTTTAAAGAAATCTTTTGCAAGGACACTTAAGGTAACTTGGTATGTGAGGTAAAGTTTTGAGAGTTAAAAAATTGATAAAATTGGCTAGGAATTAGGAATCTATGTAAGAATAAATAAGATCAATATGAGGACTGATATCTTTCAACATTTATTAATTTGGAAGAATGGGTAAACAATGATGTGGCATAAAACACTGATATCAAAATTGAATTTACAGAGTAGATTTAATGTAGCACATATCTTTCAATTTGCCAGTTAAGTTATACTCTGAATTAGAAAAGTAAGTATCATTATGGACATACTAAGAATTAAATATTAAACTTGGATAAGGAGGGGCTGAAAGAACCACATTTACTTAGAGAAATATAATCTAGTGCACTGAATTTGGGACTGACACACAAAAACTCTGGAATCTGATTCTAAATTTGCCAGTAATTGAGTAATTCAGTGTGTGGCTGTAGATGAGCCACTTAATCTCAGACAGTTTTCCCATATTTAAAATGGTTATGTGGGTGAGGAGAAAATCCAATATAGAAGAGAATAAGATAATGAGGACCATTTAATTTGCAACATAGACAAGTGAATGTATGCTAAAGAATTGTGAAATCTGAAAGGGACAGAGAAGGCCAACTAGTTAACCATATTTAACAATATAGGAAAAATTGTATTAAAAAATAAATTCAAAAATTGGAATTCAACAACATGGAAAGTTATACCCCCGTTGCTTTTGCACTAACAAAAAACATGTAACTCACTGCTGCATACTAGTACATTGACTAGATTAGCAGAATTTTTCCTTTAAATTTAGACATTGACAGGAATATGAGTAGAACTTCTGCAGCTATATTAGCTATGGCAAAAGTCACAAAGGGTTAATAATTCCTCTGCTTCAGGACAAAATGTGATCACCTACTGAATCAGAAATAAATTTTCCTCATGGTGCAGTATTGAAAATTACATGTTTTATGGGAGAGTTGCACCTTCCTTTGCAGCATACAGTAGTGGTTGCTATTATAAAGACATTATATAGATCTTGATAGATTATTTGAGTATTAAGCTATAAGTATTTCTATTCTTATATCTAGAAATGGTATGTCTCCTCACAATACACTGTTTATATTCAACATACAAGCAAAGAAGGCTCCACTATGGACCACCTTTAGAAACAAAGCTGATTTTTTTTGTTTAATAACCAAAGAGATGCCAAACAAAAGGACATTAGAATAATCACATACAAAATGAGACCTGCAAAGAAAGAGCATTGCATACCATAGCTCACCTTCATTAACTAGGTACCGTGCATAGATAAGGAGCCAATGGTGGTATTCGTAACTGGACTGTAACGTAAGTGCTGCTGCTATCTGATTCTCCAGGTAAGCCAGTGTTGCTTCCTGTTGTACTAAATGAGGCATGGAAAATAGTCTTGCAGCTTGCCTTCCTGAACTATAAACCAAACATGTAAAAAGTCAGAGATCAATTGGAAAAAACTTCCCCTGGTGCAAAAGCCATTCTTCTAGTCTTTCACATATCAAAAGTATTTGGTACTTTTCCAGTTTGAATCAAAGGTAGCACTGCCTATAAATCTTCTGAACTTCTTTCAGATAGAAAGGTCCTAGAACCTATCTACATTGGCATCAGGCCTAGACAACCCACCAGGGCATTAGGCTCAGTGATCCCCCATTCACTTTGGCTTTTCCATCTAGGGAACAGCAATCGATAGGTGCCTCGAAAAATCATTCACTCAGTTTGATCATACGGACTCTAGATTTTATAATACAGTACTGTATTGGTCACTTGTTCCTTGTCACTCATCCCTCTCCAACCACTGAAATCTCTCAGGTGCCCAACTCCACTCTCTCTTGCCCACTGGGGTTCTTCACCAGCTCCTCAAATACCTCTCTCCTTTCTCCTCTCCACCCCATAACCCTTTCTTCTTGCCCTCTTCAGTCCTGAAAATGTACCATTGACCTCCACCACAGCAAAGGTCAGTTTACACAGTTTCATTTATATTACAAAATCAAACCTGTAACCAAATGAACAAAATTTAACTGCCACAGTAAGTTCCTAGCATCATCCTGATCCCACTTTGCTCTTGTGCTGCATCCCTTTTGTCCTTCATCTGTTTTTTTTCTCTTTAATGTTATAAGCTCTTCAGGATAGGGCTGTCTTCCCTATGTTTATATAGCCCCTCAGGAAACTAAGGCTGTGTCTAGACTCGAGGGTTTTTTCGAAAAAAGTAGCCTTTTTTCGAAAAAACTTCTCTTGCATCTAGAGTACAGCCGCGTTCTTTCGAAATTAAATTGAAAGAACACGGCTTTTCGTTCGATGGCAGAAAACCTAATTTCACGAGGAAGAACGCCTTTTTTCGAAAGTGCTCTTTCAAAAAAAGGCGTTCTTGAATGCCAAAAGGGCTTTTTCGAAAGAGAGCATCCAGACTGCCTGGGTGCTCTCTTTCGAAAAAGCGGCTTGCTTTTTCGAAAGTACTGCTTGCAGTCTAGACGCTCTTTTTCTAAAGATACTTCAAAAAAGCCTCTTTTGAAAAAGGCTTGCAGTCTAGATGTAGCCTAAATGAAGGCTAGTTTTATAATTCATCTTTTTACAAGGCTGGACATTTTTTTGAAGGTAACTACAATATTCTAATAAAATTACTTTTTGAAGCAATGAAAACTTCTTTACAAACTTTAACTAATTTTTCATGTGGATATTTTCTTTTTTTACAAAATATATTCAAATTGTTATTTCCATTCTTTCTATTTTTAAACCCAAATTTTCTTGACTTCTTTTTAAAGGAAAGAAGGAAATTTAAATCCCATTTCCTTCTTACAGCCCCTCTCATTTGGACATACACATTAGAAAAATAAAATAAAACTAGGCTATGTAGGAGCATATACATTAGAATCCAGGGATGTAAGCAGCAGATGAAGATGAGCTGCTGAGCTATCTAAGGAAACCTCCACTGGCTCTTGCTTTTCTCTGGTGATATGACCAGATGTCACTTGCTGCATATATTTAACTAATAACCACCCAATCTTCCTTAAAATACTTAAAAGAGTGTACAGATAAAAGCCAACTAAGAAGAACCGAATAAGCCAAAATTGAAGCTTGTAGGCCAAATCACTTTTGCAACATGTTCAATAATTTAGCCATAAAATCACACTGCAACGTTTAAGAAATCCAGTTTAAATAACAAAGTGATACTCTATAAATACAAATGAGAAACACTGCACTAACAGGTAAGGAAGACTAATAAAAGTAGCATTATTAAGCATAGTGTGCAGCCACCTTCATACCACCCAAATATTCCCTGAGCTAAACAGATACAAAGTTACAAAAACAGAAAGCTTAAACAGAAGTTAACTCCAGACAATTCAGTTGACTCTTTGTGAAGCAAAAACAGACCACTGGGCTGATCAATGAACACAAATAAAATGCCTAAAAATGCATACTTTGATGTCCGTCCCTGTATTATGGCTAAAGGTCCTGAACACAGCATGGCTTCTTGTGATGGTAAACTATTCCTGTAGTCTGCACATTGTGCTAAGGAGTCCTGTTTATCAGAGACAAGATTCCTGGGAGGAGGGAGGAAAAAAAACACAACATATTGAATAGTGGATCAGCTGGCAGATGACTGTTCTATTCTGTTTTATACTCTATTTGCATTTTCACCATGAAAATTTTATTAAAGCTAATATTAAAATGAGATCTAAAACACAGGTTAAGAAAAGAATGTCTGTATATCTTGGTATAGTGTTTAAATGATCTAAAAATACAAAGATTGGTTCCAAAGTCATACAATATATATAATATATAATCAACAATAACCCCAATTTAGATTAATAAATGTAATGATACACACTGGTGCAATATAGAAGGCTTTGGGCCAAACCCTGCTCACTTTATTTACTCACAAGGCCCATTGAAGTTAATAGGATTAACCACATAGCCTAAAAAGGATTGGACTTGAGGTCTGGAAAGTATAAGAGAAAATCCACTGCTCCTTTTACAGGTTGCCATACTTGGAAATGGCATACTGGAAACAAAAATTTACATCCATGGTAGGATCAAGGCCGTATAGAAACAAAGCATTATTTTCTCATCAGGAAATTAACTTTAGTCCAAATCCTTCCATATACTAGATGTACTCTCAGATTGCGAAACAGGCATTTTGGCACTTTCCCTTAAACTGAGACTATGATGCCTCCTTCATGCCGATAGGACAGTTGACAGCTACAGCTCCTTCTTCCTACATGAGTTTGACAGTCTGGGGAATTGGTTGCTCACATGAATGTCACCTGTATGCTTACTAGACAACCAAGATTAAACAATGGCACTAATAGTTACTGTAATCTTGATTATTTCATGATGATTACTTTGAGCTGGTGATATTCTTTTACATCAGTCTGAAGATATGGCACAAACAGAAAAGTGACAGGAAATTTAGTTATGGCTGAGATTCCAGCCTCCAATTTTCACTGTTTTAACTGGAGAGAAAAAGATAGCAGGTTTTAAACGTAGGGTCACAACCTTACCTTTGAATAGTATCAAGGCCAAAACAGATATAAACTAGAGCCAGACAGTAAAAATTAGATTTTATCTAGAGTGTTTTCCCTTGAATTTATTTAAAGAATGATCCCATAATCTAAACATACAAACTACCCTGGAAATATTAGAGAGCATCCAAGTTTTCTGACTGCTATTCCAGATTAATTTTTTCCAGAAACTATTACCTTTTACATTCAGAACTCATGAATGTCTGAATAACCCACCTGTTTTAAATGCATGTCAGCTTGCAGGCAACGATAAGCAACTTATGACAAATCAGAGTATAAATGTAAGGAAATAAATTTCTGTTTAAGCTTCTAACTTACAAGGTTTATTTTAACCAATACCAAATCATAAAAACAAGAAAAGGACAGGTCTAGTCATCTATGTACTAGTACAGGTTGGACTTCTATGGTCTGGCACCCTCAGGACCTGACCAGTCCCAAAGGAGGGAGTTTGCTGGACCAGGGGAAGTCAGCCTCTCTGGTAACAGACTCTGGGCTCTCCTGGAATCTATCAGCAAATCGCTAAGCTCCCCTGGCTCTCGGCCACAGGACCCCCAGCTCCTTAGCCAGCCCTGTGGCCACAAGGGCTCCATATCCAACCACGGGGACACCGGGTTCTTCTTCCCTTGGCCGCTGGAGCTCCGTGGCCCTGAGGCTGCCCTGGGGCCCCAAGACTCCACTGCCCAGAGCTGGGGCTCTCTGGTCCAGGGGCTCTCTAGATCAGCAATATCCATGGTTCTGACAGACCAAAAATGTTGCTGGACCAGAGGGGTTCAACTATACATGTGGAGCAAAGTAGCAGACAAGCGCAGAGTGTGTTCCTGTTCAGGTTAATTTTCAGAGTATAGAATTACGGGGCAGTCAATCAGAACTGGAAGGCTAACACAGCCAACTTTATACAAGACTATACAACTTACCATGCAGAAAGAGAAGGATTAAAACAATATGCCTTTCCATCAGACAGGCTCATTACTGGTATACCATGTTGAGTCAACAAAATTTGAGAGACAGATGTATCACTTCCTACAGAGTAAAACAGATCTCATGATTTCCTCTAAAGTAACCATTACATAACATTTAAAATTCAACACATTTAAAGTGCTGTACACCTATTAATTAATCCTTGCAACCACCCTTCTGAAGCAGATAGGATATTTTACTGACAGGGAAGAGGAGGCAAAGAGATGAAAGCAAGTCAGAAGCAAAGCTGGACTTAGAGCTCTCAGCACTGAGCTCAACATACTATTACATGTGCCATTTCTTTGTAACTATTATGATGTGATCTTGAGAAACTGCAACATAAATCAATGGTTGGTTAAAATGGAAATATTTGCAGCATCTCAGGGCAAAGTAGTTGCCTCTTTATTTTTTCTGTCTTTAAAAATAAACTTTTCACTTTACATATAGTTCCATGCCAATCTCCTAAGAAACTATGCTTGGGAAGGTGTGGTATCAAAGATAAACATCCTATAACACTAAGATATTCATTGTTTCCTGTTCACCAACATGTTCTGATTCTACTGTTCAACAAAGCACGTTTTGCATACAGGACCAATTGACCAGGACTTGATAGCTGTCTGTCTGAGAAAACTTCTGCGGTTTGCTGGGTTTATATACCACATACACGCGCACAAATATTTCTCAAATTTCTCTTGATTAGTACTACTAAGACTAAAATACAAATAGGGGGCCAGTGTGTTTCTTGTAACACTTTTTTTTTTTTTTTGGCAAGGACAAAATAGATGTGTTAAATGGAGAGAATTGCTGATCAATAGTTTTAAATAGCTGATTATATTCAAGATATGCACCATGGACTGCAATAGTTGTTACAGGATTTATATACCAGGTTAGAAAGTATTTCATGATACATCTACAATGCTTAATTTCAACATTTAAGAATAAAATTACAGGCTCCTAAAGAGACTGCTATCTCCTTATATTTTTATCTTGATTATTTCTGTGGTAATGAAACATTATCCAGTTATTTCCATTTAATACCCAACTACACACAGAAGAAAACCTATTTATTTTTTCTTTATGAGGTAGGTAGAATTCTAGTACATTCATTAATGGCTAAACATAGTACAAGACAGCAAAAAGGCTAAGGTTGGCAGGTAAATTTTCTCTTTCATTACCTGCTAATATTGTTTGTAGAGACTCATCTTTGACAACTGCTGACTGTTTATGAACATCCCTAAAGGGAAAGAAGAGGGATGGGGGGGGGATCTATACATTAAAAAGAAATGAATACTCCAATCATATAACAAACCAGTTTCTAGAATGTTCCTGATTAAAATTTGTAATTTAGTATTCTCGTCATTATTTCGACAACACAATTTTGGCAGCCATAAGAAACAAATTAGCAAAGAAGAGCTGTATACACCTCTGCTTCAAAAAACAATTATAACCAGCATTATTTTCACATCTGTAGTGCTTTGTGTTAGAAAATTTCATCACATTTTGCAAACATTAAGCCACAGTAGCAGAGTTGGGAACTAAACCCATGTCTTCTGACTACTAGGCCCATACTCTGGTAAATTCTACAGACTAAGATCATGCTTTCCTAGGAGATGGCACAAACAAATAACTATCGGTAGGATAAACTATCTACTTCCTAGGGTGACATTCACCTATGTGGAGTTCCACTTAAATCTGTAAGAGACAGCAGGCAGGACACCTCTCCACAGGGATGAATTTCACTTCCACAAAAGAGACTAGATCAAAAGTGAACCTATTTATTCTACAGACTAAGATCATGCTTTCCTAGGAGATGGCACAAACAAATAACTATCGGTAGGATAAACTATCTACTTCCTAGGGTGACATTCACCTATGTGGAGTTCCACTTAAATCTGTAAGAGACAGCAGGCAGGACACCTCTCCACAGGGATGAATTTCACTTCCACAAAAGAGACTAGATCAAAAGTGAACCTATTTTGATGCAGAGCACCAACAGGCACACACCAATTAAAAAAACCTATCAGCCCCAATCAAAGTAATTATCTGAAGCACAAAAATAACCAGTCAAACATAGTCATTGGTAGTCATGGCAACATAAATTAGTACTCACCAAACAGACAGTGTAGCAATTGTGGTGAGAGCCATGACATAGGAACCTGTGCAATGTAAAGCAGAGACAGGCGAATGCAATATAATGGGTGGGAGAAGGCGACGACCACAAGCTGAAAATACAGATAAGGTCCTCTTCTCACAGGCTACACTCACCACATCACTGAAAATGATCAAAAGGAAACATTAAAACTCAATTAAACAAAAAAGACATGATCTCGTGTGTTATCATACAACCTGAAGGAGATCCTACTGGTAATTGTGACGGACAAAAAACTGCATTCTAAATTCAAGTCTGCAGATGGAGGAGAATACAACATATCAGTGGGGAAGGAAAGAAGGAGTGCCTGTCAGAATAAGCTTAAACATACTAGCCATATGAAGGAGAGAGGTTTTTTGTTGTTGTTTTTTGTTTTTGTTTTTTTAAACAAGATTGTTTACACATACATAAGAATGTATGGCCTATCAAGACAGTGGAATGGTAATGCTTTCTTTAGAAGGTAGGGAGGAAACTATGTACTGCAAAACCACTGCAGAGGTGAAAGCAGGGAATTTCTAAGTCACAAAATATAAAAGAACCTTTCATGGTGATCTGAGGAGAAGAGGTTACTTACCTCGTAACTGTAGTTCTTCGATATGTGTTGCTCATGTCCATTCCGATTAGGTGTACGCGCGCCACGTGCACGGATTCCGGAGCTTTTTTCCCTTAGCAGTACCCATAGGGCCAGCAGGGAGCCCCCTGGAGTGGCGCCGGTATACCGGTGCATATATACCCCTGCTGGCCCTCCCACCCCTCAGTTCCTTCTTGCCGGCTCCTTCCGACCCTAGACACAGGGAGGCGGGTGGGATGCAGAATGGACATGAGCAACACATCTCGAAGAACTACAGTTACGAGGTAAGTAACCTCTTCTTCTTTGAGTGCTTGCTCATGTCCATTCTGATTAGGTGAGTCCCTAGCTGTCCCCCCCCCCGGAGGCGGGGTCGGAAGGTGACTAACTATTATCTTATCATTCTGCAGAACACAGAACTGCTGTCCCGACAGCAGCATTCTCCCTGGCCAGCTGCGTGATTGCATAATGCTCTGCAAAGGTGTGCACTGATGACCAGGTTGCTGCCCTGCAGATCTCCAGGATCGGCACACAGGCCAGGAACGCCGCCGACGTCACCTGGGCTCTAGTGGAATGTGCTGTTATGCACGGCGGTGGTTTACCCGCACCCTCGTAGCACAGTCGAATACAGGAAGTAATCCACGAGGATATACGCTGCGTTGAGACTGGCTGG